CCCAGAAGGCCGGGCAGCCCCGCCCTGTGCGCTTCCTCCCCGAAACCACAGCCACGGCTCCTCCGAGGTCCCTTCCTGAGGCGACCGGCCCCAGGACGCCCCCTGGGCCTGGGCAAGTCCTGTGCTCCCCGAGGAGCTTTAGAAAGAGGGTCCCCCCACTTGCCCAGAACAGTACCGGGGGGACCCCGAATCACAGCTGTGGTCCCTTCCGGGGGCTCCTCCGCTCTCAGCGGGGCTGTGAGGGGCCAGCGGTGCCTGCTCTCGTCGCCCCGGGGACCAGCTCACAGGCTGGGGGGCTCCGGTGCAACACGCAGTGTCACCCGGGTGCACCCCTCCCCTGGGAGTCGGGTTGAAGTGGGGGTAACTAGGAAAGGGAGACCGCTGTCACAGAGGCTCTCGCTGAGGCTGAGGAGCAGGGGTGGAGGGTACGAAAGGGCCAGAAGCTGCCCGGCCGGCGCGGCTCAGGGGCTGAGCGTTGGCCTAGGAACCAGGAGGTCACAGTTCGATTCCCGGTCAGGGCACAGGCCCGGGTTGCGGGCTCCATCCCCAGTGGGGGCCGTGCAGGAGGCAGCTGATCCATGATTCTCTCTCATCATGGATGTTTCTCTCTCTCTCCCTCTCCCTTCTTCTCTGAAATCAATGAAAACATAATTTAAAAATTGATGGGCAGCTGAAGGAGCGGAGGGAGAGGGGGGAAGGTCTCAGACAGTCAGCCCGTCCCCAGGGGCGCCCCGTGAAGGGTGGCACACGAGTGCCCGGGGCCTCAGAGGCTCCTGCGGGTGAAGAGCCGGAGAAGTGAACAATCGGAGGTCTCTTCAGCCCGCGTGTTTTAACGTTAAATATATGGCGCATGTAAAGGAAAATGAACTCAGGTTATAGTGTGAATTCACATGTCCAGTCGTCACCGCCGTAGACGTTCCTCTCTGAGCCAGAAACCTGCTCCCTGGGCGCACCGCCCGGCCTGCCCCCAGCCCTCCCCGTTCTGTCGCTGTTACCGGCTTAACCCCGAGAGGCCACCGCGTGGACGTGTGACTACAGCGCTCGATAGGCTGTCGCCTATAAACAGTCGTCAGCTTCACGGGCCCGTGTCTTGTACACCTGTCTTGAGGGGGTACCGTTATCTTTTTATCTGCATTTTAAAGCTTGTTCATCCAGAGGAGCTCAATGTCAGATAAGCCGTGTAACCGAGGAACCCAAGGCCCAGGCCCGTGTCACTCGAGAGCCGAAGACCCTCCCACAGGACAAGCCCGCCCCCCACGCAGGCTCCGAGCATCACTAACTGCACACCCCAAAGCGTGTTAGGGCCTGCTCCATTCCAGCTCCTCCGCGAGGCGAGACCCACAACTGCTGGGCCTCAACCCTGGAACTCAAACTCTCTGGGGACTCGGATATTAAAACAAAATAACCACATGGGACAGCCGCTCGACCTAGAAAGTGCTATAACGCGCACCCGTGCCAGGGGCCGGGGGTCCCAGAGGAAGGGCAGGGCCTTCGTCTGCCGGAGAGGAGCAGGAACGTTCCCCCACAGATTGGGGTGCCCGGCATTCCCGGAAGAGGGGCCAGTGTGACCACAGGCTTGGGATGTTGCGGATGTTGGGGTTCAGGGGTGTGGCGTGATGTGCCCACAGCACGGGGCACCTAAGGCGTTGGGGTGGGGGTGCTGATGGCAACACGGAGCTGGCCACGGGCCTCGAAGGCTGTGC